GCTTGTGGCCTGGGAAAGCAGTTGAGGACGGCCCAAAGCTTTGGGAACCTGCACCCGCGTGGGAGACCCAGAAGAGGCTCCTGGCTTCGGATCAGCATAGCATTGACCATTGCGCTCACTTGGGGGGTGAGTCATCGGACAGAAGATCTTCCTCTCTCTCTCTCCTCTCTGTATATCCGCCTTTCCAATAATAATAATAATAATAATAATAATAACAAAATGTGAAAAACTGCCGTGTCCTCCCCTGACTTCAAATGGCATAGATTCCTTCCTGGTCTGAGTGCCCAGGTTAGAGGATAGGGGAAACAGATGTGACCTGCCCCCTCCTCACTCTAGCAGCAATCCTAGGGGGAAGTTAGTGCTGGCTGCTAGATTCTATGTCAGAAAATATCACCAGTGGCCCTGGCTGAGATGGCCTGCACACCCCACCTTATTCAGCAAGTTGCAGTCTTCTCAAGCAACACAAGGAAGGAACCACAGGTGGTATTTCTGCTGGCCACTGCATAACTTCTGTGTTCATGTATCTCCATGGTGTGTCTCTACTATCCACAGTGTGTCCCCTGCAGCTTTCTCTCAAACTTTCCCCTTGAAATGTATTTCCTCCACTTCTCCTCCACCTGCTTCCGCTGGTCAAAATCTGCAAGTCCATTCCCTATTTAGCCATCTTGTCAACGTATGTGGCTTCTTTTGTTTGACATATTTGGAAGATCTTACTGCAGTTAGTACACACTTTACTGTTTAGTATTTCATGATATGAATCCGACACAGTTTACTTGTTCATATCGCTGTGACTTTGAGTAATTTCTACTTTTTGCTATTATGAGTAGTGATGGTATGAACATTTGGTCACATAGTTTTTAGTAAACATTAGTACTTAAGCAATATGCCTTTTAAAGACTTACTTTATTCAAAAATTGGAATTACAGAGAGAGAAAAGGAGAGTCAGAGAGGGAGAGATTTTCCATCTATTGGTTCATTTCCCTAATGGCCAAGGTCAGGGACCTAGAACTTCATCTGGATCTTCCATGTGGGTAGCATGGGTACAAACATTTGAGGCCATCTTTTGCTACTTTCCCAAGCCCATTTGATCAGACATGTGGATTGGAACTGGAGCATATAGGCCTCGAGCCCATACCCATTTGGGATGTGAGATTGTAGCTAGTAGCTTCACCTGCTGCATGACACTGCTGGTCCCAAGCCTGTATGTCTTAAAATGGAATTGTTACATCATAGAATTTGTTAAGAGTTTACATAGCTCTCACAGAAAACATAATTGTACAAAATTGTACTCCCCTGGCTGTGTCATAAGAATCTGACAATTTTCATTTTTTCTGTTGTATCTATCTATATAGTATTTTCATTTTGTAGTTTTGTTTTGTGTTTTAATAATGACTAAGGAACTTGATTGTTTTTTCCAATAATTTTACAGCCAGTGAATATTCTCTTGTGAAGTGCTATTTAAATCTTTAATTGGCAGCATTTTTCTGAGTGTATATGTATGGTAGTACATTTTAGCAATAATGAAATAAAGTAGATTTTAAATGTTTTTACAATCAAATGGTAACTATATGTGGTAATGCATATAGTGAGCTTAATTTAGCCATTCTACAAGGTATACTACATATTTCAAAACTTCAGGTTGTACACCATAAATACATATTTGCTAATTTAAAAAATGTAAGGTTGTGCCCTATATATTTTTAGTTCCACTGCTAATATTTTTCTTTTTACTTCCTAGGGCTCTATCACAAATTCATAGGCAATTAATTTTTGTGAATTTATTATATCTGCCCATTTGCCTATTCATTTATTCAGCAGACACTAATTGAACATCTGTGCATAATGATCAGGTATTTACCTACCTAAAAGAATAACACACAATATATGCCAGGTACTTACCTGGGCACCATGAATACTAAAATCAAAAGAGAAATAAAGTTTGCTTGATATGCCTACAATCAAAGACAGGTAAACAGGAAAATGATAACATGATGCCATGTGGTAAGAGATGGAACTGTGATATAAATGCCATAAGACCAGAGGAAATGAACAATTGACTTACTGTTCAGAAAGCCTTCACCTAGGTGGTGATAGTGAGTTAGCTCTTGCAGGATAAGTAAGAATTTATCAGCTAGAGAAAGGTAATAGAGCATATCAGATATGGAGCTGTAAAAGAATGTTACTTTGGGGGCCCAGCACGTAGCCTAGTAGTTAAAGTCCTCACCTTGCATGCACTGGATCCCATACTGGCGCTGGTTCATGTCCCATCTGTTCCACTTCCCATCTAGCTCTCTGCTTGTAGCCTGGGAAAACAGTTGAGGATGGCCCAAAGCCTTTGGACGCTGCACCCACATGGAAGACCCGGAGGAAGCTTCTGGCTTCTGGCTTCAGATCGGTTCAGCTCCATCCCTTGTGGCCACTTGGGGAGTGAACCAGCAGATGGAAGATCTTTCTCTCTTTCTCTCCTCTCTGAGAATCTAACTTTCCAATAGAAATAAATAAATCTTTAAAAAATTGTTATTTTGTTCTTTTTCTTCCCTTCCCTCTTTCCCATACTGAATATCCCCTTCTTCTTCCCTGTTCTCTGCTTTCTCCTGTCTCTTATTTAAATGAAAGAAAGAAAGAAAAAGAGAGGGAGACAGACAGATATGATCCACCTCCTAGTTCCCTCCCTGAAATACCAGTAACAGGGTGAGCCAAGTCAAAACCAGAAGCTCCATCAGGGTCTCTGTGGGTGGTAGGGACCTAAGTAATTGAGCCATCACTTGATGTTCTTTAACAGGTGCACCAAAATCCTGTTCATGGAAGGTTCTCCTGTGTCCTGGAAGGTCAAGACTGACTTTTTCTTTCTCTTACACTTTCTGAATGGACCCATTTCAAAAGCACATTAGGGAGGGGTCTTCCTGTGGTTAGAATTCGAACAAATCTGGTGGTGAGGGATGTTTATTTTAAAAGTACTGAGCCTGAGTACACCTGAGGAAGGGAAAGCCAGAGAAAGTGAAGAGGGAGGCAGACGGTGGGAGAAGAAAGCAGAAGGAGTGAGGTAATGAAACACTTGTCAGGATATAAGGCCCTGAAGAATGCATGGAGGCAGCCCTGAATTAGGAGCCAGAATATTGACCCTAGTTAAGTGCGAAGAGCAGTTTTTCCTAAGACAATAGGAGGGTGAGTAGTTCTTGGATCACAGATGTGCTGAAGCTGGTTCACATCCTCTCTAATTCTGCAGAACCCTGGTACTGCACATGACACTAGTATTTGAGTGTAATGTTAATCAGTTTCAGCTAGGATAACAGTTTGTGTCACACTGGGAATCACATGGCATATCTAAAATAGAATAATTAGAGGAGAGTTAATTTGCAATGTGACCATTATAAAAATGTGTGTGTGGCACAGTGTTACCACATGAAAGGATGGTATAAGAACTCAAGGCTTAAAACAGTGAACAGTCACTCTCCCTAATCTTGATGGGACAAGATATAAAGATACTTGACATAAGCAGGGTCCCCCTTGGAGAAGCCAACATGTTTGTCTTAGCTGGGTCCCACTGGCAGAACTCAACAAGTCAGGGAGCATTGGAGCCCACTCTGTATTCTGTATGGATTAGGCTCCCAAGACACAGGCAGCAGGCGGTAGAGTGGATCTGGAGGAACAAATCCAAGAGATCTTGCACACCCTGGAAGTCTAGCATTGAAGCCAAATTCATTTCTTGATATAATCTGTGAATGATGTTCCAATACCAATATCTCCAAGCAAAGCTTTTTACTCACTAGTTTGTCTATTAAGCATGAGAAAGTAGCAGATTTGTTGAAATTCCAAAATAGTCTTTTGAATCTGTCCAGTCAGATGATAACAGAGGTTTCTCTCTCCTTTTGCAGCTTACCTGTATCTGATAATAGACACTCTGCTCAGCTAATGCAGGGGCAGATTCCCTGTAGAAAGGGGCAATCAGGAGCGGAAGGAGGCAGAAGGGAAAGAAAACCTATCCATGAGAAATGGGGGTGTTTTAGATTGGAGAGGAAGCAATGGAAAAATAGCCAAGGTCCCAGGGGTTTATGCTGAGTGGCTGGCCCCAGCCCTAGCCAAGGTGTCTGGCCTTAGCCTGATGACCACACTAGGATCCTCTTGTGGGGTTCACCTTCTTTGGAGTTTCCCATAGCTTAGAAATTAGAGCACTTTGCTCATGTGGCTATAGTATATTGTGGATTCTTATGAGTGGCAAAGACTGGTTCATGTCCTGGGGTCTAGGTAACAGCCTGGGGTCTAGGAAAGTTGCAGCATGGGATGAAGGCTGAGAACTCAGATTCTGAAGTTAAACTTCTGGAATTTATATTCTGTCTCTGCTCCTTATGGTGTCTATGATCAGGGGAAAGTTACTTAATGCTTTGTTTTTCACCTTATCCACCTGGAAAATGGCTATGATAACAGTAACCATCTTGAGGGTTTTTAGCAAGAGCCAGTGAGTTAGTATTATATAGTTCCTACGAACAGCCTAGCACTTGGAAGGCTCCACTTACTGGGTATTTTCTCTCAAGTCTACCCACCCAATGATCCTTAAAATAGATGGTGTCTTCCTTCCTACCTGCTAATGTTCACCTGACTAATTAATCAAAGTTATGGATTTCATAATTTGGATTGTGATTTTAGAGAAGGATGGATAACTGTCCTTAGAAAGGACAGGCATTGTTCTGAATATGGAGGATGAGAAATTCCCTGTACTGTTAGTGTGAAAGGAGTCAATCCTTACTATGACCAATGTTCTCTTCTATAGTAAGTAATTACCAAGGTCACTTAAGTATAGGGTCATTCTGATTTACTGGCCTTTAGCAAAATTTGATTTGTCCTTTGGGGCATTGCCTGGATACTACTAAACTGCCTCTGGCTGATTAATTATTTTGTTGATTAAAAGAAAATTTTGGCTTCAGCCAGGTAATCTATGTTCCTAGAATTAATACAAATGTGATGGAGTAATTGTTGTGTCTTAACTTTTGTGTCCCTATCAGGAGTTATCTACAGCATTTCACCAAAGCAAGAACTTTCTGCCAAAGACATGCAACCTTGTTCAAGAAGATCCTGTTGGGCCTGTTGTGTCTGGGTAAGATATTGAGAAGTCATGGGGATAAGAAAGTAATCATTTTAGGATTGTTGCTTTGTTGCTGAGTGGGAGCAGGCTTAAGGATCCTGTGAGCACCTGATATAGGAGAGGGAGAAAGAGTAGGGCTCTGACCCCTTAATGGTGAGCGCTAGGCTTGGTGCTGCCCCGGAGTGGCACAATGATGCTGGGTCTCTGGCAGAGGGGACAGCATGATTGAGTGTGCAGACTCCAGGCAGGTATAGATACCCGAGAGGACCTGGCAGATTCACCTGGCGACTCCACCACCGAGCCTTTGGGCTGAGCAGTCCTGGGAGCCCAGCAGAAGGAGGCTCTCCTGATCTGTGTGCCTTAGCAGAAGCATCCCACAGCAGTCAGCTGGGTTGGACAGAAAGAGGAAAAGCCTCGACCTCTCCCCCTCTCCACAGGAGAAGGCACCAGGCTACCTAAGGCAGAGGACAAAGGCAGCCATGCAGCAGCCTGCACACCTGCCCTGTCTCGTCCAGCCACCTTCAGCACTCCACCTGCTATTGAGCCTCTGAGGCCGTGCTAGGGGATGTGGCCAGGCTTTGTAACTGCCTCCTGCAGAAGGCCTTGACCAAGTCAGGAAGACAGCCAGCAAGGCTGCCAGGGACTTTCTACCCATCTGTGCCATCACCCACTAGCCCTGGCTATCCCATTCTCCTGGGAACCTGGGAAGCTGCTCTCTGGGGGAGAAGACATGTGACCAATTCCCATGACCAATTTGATTTTGAAGGCCATAATGGGCGCTGTTGGAATCAGCACAATGTGACCTCAGCAGCTTCCTTCATCTCACACTGACTCTAGGGTTCTAGACAAGGTCAAGGCACTGCACCGGCCATCTGCTCTAAACTCGCAAGGGTGGAGAGAAGGAGAGGGAGAAAGAAGGAGAGAGAAAGAGAAATCTTTTGTATGCTGTTTCACTCTCTAAATAGCCGCTTCTATAGCCATAGCTGGGCTCGTCTGAAGCTAAGAGTTTTTCTGTCACATGGCTGCGGTGGCCCAGGTAGTTGAGCCATTCTCTGCTGCATTCCCAGGGCATAAGCAGAGAGCTGGGTGGAAGTGGAGCATCACATGGAATCTCTCTCAAATAATAGATACATAGATAGATAAATAGATAAACTTTAGAATTGAAAGCAAAATCTCACACAAACTTTACCCAGGGTAGGTCAATATTTTAAGAAAGCCTTGCTGCTTTAACATAGAAAGAAAATGATTATTTTTTCAAAATTTATGTTTATCTGAAAAAGAGAGAGTTCTTGTGTGCTGGTTCACTTTCCAGATGCCTGCAATGACCATGATTAGGCCAGTGTCAAAGCCAGGAGCCTGGAATTCTGTCCAGGTCTCCCATATGAGGGCAAGGACCCAGGTACTTGACCATCTTCTGCTGCCTTCCACAGTATACACCTTAGCAGGAAGCTGGATAAGAAATGGAGGAGGCAGGACTCATATCAGGCTTGTGGATATGGGATGCCAGAGTTCTATGTGGTAATTTAACTGCTGTGCCAAATGCCTACTTCTAGATTTTGCTTTATTAAAAGTTATTACTTGGGAGGCAGAAAGACAGGTGGGAAGAGGGAAGATCCCCCTGTTCCAGTGGTTCACTCCCATACAGAATGCTCCTGTCTGTTGGTTTACACCCAAATATACAGAATAGTTAGGGCTGGACCAGGCAGAAGCTGAGAACTGGGAACTCTGTCTTGGTCTCCCACATGGAGACAGGAGTTTGGTCACTTGAGTCATCACTGCTGCTCTCTGGTGTCTGCACTGGCAGGAATATGGAGTCAGTGGAGGGAGCAGGGATGTGGGGAGTCTTGGTTTCCTTGAACCAACTTTATGTTAAGAATTTATCCCATTGATAGGTCTCTGAGTTGGTTGCTATGTCTTGGGATGGTTACTGTGATACTGGTTGGTTCTGTAACCTGAGGTGGTTAGTGAGGTCTGGGTTGGTTACTGTGGTCCAGACTGGTTACTGTAACTTGGGTTGTTTACTATGGTCTGGGTTTCTTGCTGTGATCTGAGTTATTTGCTGTTCATTCCCCTAAATGATTGAAATTCTGGGGCTGGGCCAAGTCAAAACCATGAGCCTAAAACTCCATCCTGATCTCTCACACAGTTGGCAGGGACTCAAGTTCTTGGGTAGTCTTCTGCTGCTCTTCCTGATACATTCAGGGAAATTGGTAATGGAGCACTTGGGACTCAATCTGGCACTCATAATGACGCAGGTATTGAACGCCACTACTTCACATGCTGCACCTCAATGTGATTCCCAAGGGTTTGTTTCCCATAGACCTCTTTGTTCCTGAGATGTGGGCTAAAGCCCGAGATTCATTCCATCAGCCAGGGCCACTAAGCACACGCCCCTTCCCAATGAGGGGTTTTTTCACAGTGACCATCAGCATTTGCTGTGCCAAGTCTCTGATCAACCGCGGGCTAGATCAAGGAAGCAGCATGGGGCAGCTGGGTCAGGGCTCTGCAAACAGAGTGGGGAGGCCCTGGCTAAACAGACGTGGGTACCCCCAGGTTGGGCTTTGAGCTAGACTGGCCAAGTGTTTCCACCAGGCTGCCTGCTGCTCTGGGAACTGGGCTGAGTTGCAGGTTCTGGAGGGGAATTCCTCCATCTTTGTAAAAGCTGGATGGTTCTCAGCATGTCCTGAGACTTGACCCAAGGTCTCTTGCAAAGTGTTTCTGCATTAGTGGCAGCTGGGCTCAGGGGAGAGAGCACAACCCCCACCTCCCTTCCTCCACTCCTGCAAAGCCTCGGGGTGCCCTTGCCTAGCTGCTGGGAATTTTGTGTAAGGAGCCTCAAACACACAAAATTCGTTCCTGCTCTGGACAAGATGATGTAAAGTTGGCTAGCATTCTTCTGGTAATTGTCTTACATTCTTGGGGTTCAGGTGTCCTGCAGCTCTGTTGGGAATGCTATGTTAGGTCTCCTGGATAAACCTGCAGGTGCCTCATGCCTCTGGCCCTACTCTCCTTAGTCCTTTTGCCTGGTCTGTAGGCCCTCACTGTGGCTACTGCCTGCTCACCATCTGTGGCTCATGCACACTGTGGGCTGACGTCACTCCCACACAGTGTCTCCCTGCCTTGCTGCCCACCCTCACTGTAGCTAGGTGCTGCATGTTACAGTTCCCAAGAATGCTGGCAGCTCTTCTTTCTCTCTCCACCTCTCTCCTTCCCGGCTCTCCACTCCTCTTTTGTGCTAATGTCAGGCTATTTCTGACATGTTCAGTGGACTCCTTCATTTGCACTTTTGCTTTCTTCAATTGCAGCTTCTGTTCAGCCAACTATAGCCCCAAAATGTTGCTTGGAAAATTCTAGATGTAAAAAATTTTACATAAAAAAAAAAGGAATGTACCTTGTGTTAAGATGATGACCATGTGGAAAGCACTTTTACTAACACATTTATCTAAAGAATTATTTATGTATCAGTATGTGTTGGTGAATCATAATTAATTGAGTTGTGCCTGTTGGAACAAGCAAAATATGAGAGTAAACTATCAAAACTGTATTACTTGATATTTAAGATATTTCTGAGAATATAGGTTTATCTCTTTTTCTCTTTTTTAGTGTCTTGATGCTGGACATAATTTCTTATGTCTTTATGAAAGAAGCCTATATTACTGATTACCTTTTTGTTGGTTTATTAACAATATGAATGATATAAACCATTTTTAAAAGACAGCACATTTTTATTCAAAAATACATTCCCAAATATATATGGAGCTTTGGTGTCAATGTTAGAGACAGCCAGGATGATAAGAACAAAAATAAAGGGCCCGGTGGCGTGGCCTAGCAGCTAAAATCCTCATTTTGAACATGCCAGGATCCCATATGGGCACCGGTTCCAATCCTGGCAGCCCTGCTTCCCATCCAGCTCCCTGCTTGTGGCCTGGGAAAGCAGCCGAGGACTGCCCAAAGCTTTGGAACCCTGCACCTGTGTGGGAGACCCAGAGGAAGTTCCTGGTTCCCAGCTTCGGAGCGGCACAGCACCGGCCATTTGTGTTCACTTGGGGAGTGAATCATTGGAGGGAAGATCTTCCTCTCTGTCTCTCCTCCTCCTCTCTGTATACCTGCTTTTGTAATAAAGAGAAATAAATCTTAAAAAAAAAAGAATAAAAATAACATTATGAGGGGTGTCAGAGAGCAATGGGTTTGTACTTCTTAGTGGCAGGCTTGCTTCCATGGTCTTGCTAAAGAGAAAAGGTTAAAATGACTGGAAACAGAATCAAGATGGCAGAATAGGGTAAGGACACATTTAAACAGAATGGAGAAACATTAACCAGTATGAAGCAGAGAGGGCACATTCCAGGAAATAGGAGAGGACAGAACAACAATAGAGGAGTACCTGGAGACTGACAGAAACAGGAAAGCAGCGAAAACAATGGTGTGGTGATACAGTTACTGATACCACAGCAGCATTCAGAGAACAGCAATCTGAACTCCACCAGCAGGACACATCAAGAAAATGGGAGATACAGAATTGAAAACATTTGTTATAAAGCTTCTTATCAACAATGAGAAGCATGTAAAGCAGGTTTTCAAGGAATTTAAGGAATACGTCACATTGGAAGTGAATCAAATAAAAGCTAATACATTAGAAATGAAGAATACAGTGGAACATATTAAAAGTATGGTGGAGAGTCTCCAAAACAGAATGAAGGAAGCAGAAGAAAGAATCTCAGAATTGGAAGATATTTCCTGTCATCAGGGGGAAACAAACAAATAGCTGAAAGCAGAGCTGGATCACGCCAAAAGGTATTCAAGAACTGAAAGACACGATTAAGAGGCCTAATATAAGAGTTATGGGAGTCCCAGAAGGTGCAGAAAGACAAACTTGGATTAAAGGTGTATTCAATGAAATGATAAGGGAAAATTTCCCTAATCTGGAGAAAGAATTGGGAAACAACATCCAGGAGGATCACAGAACTCCAACCAGGGTTGATCAAAAGTGATCTTCACCAAGATACATGATCATCAAGCTCTCTTCAATTGAACTTAAGGAAAAGATTCTTATGTGCACGTGAAAAAAATCAATTGACATATAAAGGAATGCCAGTTAAACTCACAGGAGATCTCTCACAGGAAACTCTACATGCCAGAAGAGAATGGAGTGACATATTCCAGATTCTAAAAGAAAAAAAATGTCGGCCCAGGATAAGACATCCAGCAAAGCATTCTTTTGTCTTTGAAAATGAAATAAAATTCTTCCACAGTAAAGAAAAAAGAATTTGCCTCTTTCAAACCTGCCCTACAAAGGATACTCAAAGATGTTCTCTTGACAGAGAAGAGGAATAGTGTCCACCAAAACCAAAGGCAAATGTGAAGAACATCTCAATAAAATAACAACAGAAGACTAAACCAACAAACAACCCATTGCTAAAATGACAGGACCAAAGTACCACCCACACATATTAACCCTGAATGTAAAGAGCTTAAGCTCAATCAGATGTCACAGATTAGTAGACTGGATTAAAAAGCAAAACCCATCTGTTGCTTACAGGTGACACATTTCACCAACAAAAATCAGCAGGAACTATATCTCATGGATTTTGATTTTGTTGTTGTTAGTTTCATCTCTTCAAAACACTTCCTTCTGACTAAATTCCTCCATGACTCATAGATCATACAGTAACATCATTTTCTTCAAGAAGGTTCTTGATTTTCTTTTTTGTTTCTTCAGCAACACATTAGTCATTCAGTAGCATGTTATTTAACTTCATGGTATTGTTAATTTCTTTTTCTCCCTGATGTTGATTTTGTTTTGTGGCTTTTCATTTAAGGGGATGTATAGTAGCTATGTAATGCAGACTGTCATATCTAGTAACATGTTATTTAACTTCATGGCATTGTAAAGTTCTGTTTTTCTTCCTATTGTTGATTTTATATTGTGGCATTTTCATTTAAGGGGATGTATAATAACTGTGTAATGGAGACTAACATATCCAGATGTGAGGATACAATGCAGTATGCATCTCTATTTCCAGACTAAAGATAGACTCCCAATGAAAGTGTTTACTATATGACAATAGGATGATAGATTCTCTGTCATTATCCATGCCCACAATAATGGACATATGACTCTGTATGAAGAACTATATTTTAGTAAAGATATAGGGGAACGCGGGGGGTAGGGAGTTGGGGAGGGGATAAGGGAAATCCCAGGGGCCTATGGAACTATATCATAAAATGATAATAATAATAAATAAAAGTTTTTAAAAAAATTAAAAAGAAAGAGGAAAGGGAAAAAGGTGACTGGAAACAAGGTTTAAAGAGAGGGATGGGAGTTGTGGTGCAGTGGGGTAAGCTGCTGCTTGGAATGCCCATTTCCCATACTGGAGTGCCTGAGATGGAGTCTGGCTTCTATTTCTGACCAAGTTACTCCTTATGAGCGTGGGAAGCAGCAGATGACAACACAAGTACTTGGGTTCCTACTGCTCATGTTGGAGACCCAGATGGAATTCCTGGATCCCATGTTTGGCCTAGCCTGGCCTTAACTATTCTGGGCATTTGGGAGAATAAACAAATGGATGGAACCTATCTCTATCTATCTATCTATCTATCTATCTATCTATCTATCTATCTATCTATCTATCAATTATTCTTTCTAAAAATGAATAGTTAAAAAATATTTCAAGAAGAGATTAATGACTATTGAAGAGTCTGTGGTAGATGCTGATACCAAGGAGATTTATCAAACAAGCAAACACATGAGGCTTCAAACTAAATTGGCTTTTCCTTGGGAATTCTCAGGAAGAAAAGAGCTGGACATCCACCCTGGCCACAACAGCACAGCCTAGGGAGACAGCAAGGGTGTCTTGGGAGGGATTTTCTTGCTTTCAGCCCTGGGCAATCAGGACTGGAGGTTTTGTGGTTTTGTGGAAGCTCTGCCCTGCTGATCATTCCCCTGACTTTCTCTTTTTAGCGTACGCTGCCTACTTCCTGGCAGCTTGCATTTTGGATTTCCAGAGGGCACTGGCCTTGTTTGTCATCACCTGCTTGGTGATCCTGGTTCTGCTTCACCACTTTCTTAAAAAGTTCATGGGTAAAAAATTAACAAGAACTCCGAGGCTCTTTAAAAACTCCCGCCTGAGACGCTGGATAAAATGGTAAGACTCATGATATTCTTGGCCCCATGATGGGTCTCAAGCCCCAGTCTGCCCGGTTTTCCCTCTTTTGCTATTTCCTGAGTGATCTCTTAGACGCATATCTATACTTTCTAAAACCAAAGTGTAGATGACAAACAACACAGACTTTGAGTGCTGGACATCAGTCCAAATTCTTGTAACCTTAGTCTTCAACACTATGAAAGGGCAAAGAGTTCAGATTCAGAGTTAAAAGTGTGTGCCTGAAAGAAGGAAAATCCCAATCCTCTTCATCTGAGCACTCTGGACAAGGAGGCTACGGCTTCAGGAAGCTGGTTCTTTGTGTCTCCCTCAGTTCGTTGATCTTTTTTGGTTTTTTTTCCACTAATCCTCCAGACTTAATGTACACTTAGTGTACACTTAATGTGTCAGTTATAACTCCTTCAGGTTAAGGAGAAAATCCACCCTTTAGAATACACTAAAATGGCTTCTAAAATGGATTCTATATCAGCCACAGCACATCTGATCACACATCCATAGACCAGGACTGAGAAAGTAACTTTCAGATCCTGTAAAGTTCCTCATTTCTGCTCCTTTGCCAGTGATTACAAGGGAAAATGGGGGTTAAAGATGCTTACAACAGTGTTAATTTAGAGAAATCACTTAGATTGTCATCTAAATATGAACTGTTGACTTATGCGACACTTTTATGGAATAGAGCTGAAAGAAAACACCAAAAATTCAGGCTTAATTTGTGATGTTCTTTGCTGTTTTTATTCCTATGATGTCTCACAGGGCAACATGCACAACATGTTTAATTTTCATCTGTGATCTCACCTCTGATCATTTTCTGTTGAACCTGAAGATCTCTGACACTCAGACATAATGAACCAGTTGCAGACTGATGTGTCTGGTTCAGAAAAAGGTCACCTGTAATTGGTTTGTGGTTAAGGTTTTGCTCTAGCACTATGAGTGGTTAGAAAGTGGGTGTAAATGCATGGGAGACCAATGACTACTTTTCCTCCTTCCATTTTTAATATTTTGGCCATCCCATAGCATGATCTTTAAGACTAAATCTTCATATCAGATCTTACTGATAAGTAAATTCAAGGAAAGTGAAGTCACGTGATTTGTGTCTTCAAACTGGAATCTTTCATTCTGTCAGCAAAACAGCTGCAGGGGGACAGATAGAAGTCAGGCAGCTACCAGTTGAATGATTCTCAAGCTATGTCTGTGTCTAATCAACAGTAAACTATTGACTTACTGCACCTATCCTTGGGATGAAGTTATTATTTTTTTTGTTGTTGTTATTCATTCACTGAGTTGGTGACATGGCCTTGGCATTTTATCTTCAGGGTGTTCGCAGGAGCTGCCTTGATTGGTCTTATCCTGTGGCTGGCACTTGACACAGCCAAAAGGCCACAGCAACTGATCTCCTTTGCGGGAGTCTGCATGTTCATCCTCATCCTCTTTGCCTGCTCCAAACACCACAGTGCAGTGAGTGTGGGATCCTGGGGTGGGGCACAGCAACACATAGCCAAGGGCCAAGTAGTACTTACAAAGTCCATGTGTCCAACATGAATTACAAAGGCCTAGAACCAAGTTACTAACATTTCCTGGTATTTATCATGTTGATAAATTTGTTCCTAAGGGGAATTTAAAGTCTATGGTCCAGAGTCTCTAGGAAAGATATTTTTAATAAGTTGCAATCTGTTAGTGATTTCTGATACCAATTTTGTGAATCTAGGCCAGCATTAAAGAAAGAGCAAAAGAGAACAAAGAAGGAAAGAAAGAAACTAGAATTCAATAAAGCTATATTGTACATAGTGATATTAAAGATTATTTTTATGAAACTTCCATTTGCATATATGTATGTATATAACATATTTTAACTTTACTTTAATTTCTAGAGAGGCTTTTGGAAACCACATGAACATATGTAGCTCCTGCCTTGTCTGTCCATACTGTCACCCCTGCTCTCTATGCAATCCAACCCCAGATTTACTGTTAACATCCTAGGTTGGTTTCACCAAGAATGCATGTATCTTTGCTTAAAACTCCAACCAGGTGGTGGACAAGCAAGGTTTTGAATTCACAATGAAATACTTCTTTTCATTAATCCCAGGTGTCCTGGAGGACAGTGTTTTGGGGCCTGGGTCTTCAGTTTGTCTTTGGAATCTTGGTCATAAGAACGGATCCTGGATTTACTGCATTTCAGTGGCTGGGAGATCAGGTCCAGGTATGGGATACTGAATCTGAGGGCTGTGCTCTTTTAGAAAGCCAGAGAAAGTAGATTTGAGGGATGCATAAGAGGACAGGGGCTATATTATTAATGGTGGTGGTATCATTTGGTTGGGAAAGGAGAAGGTACACTGGGACACAGCCCAGAAGAGAATTGAACTGCTAAGTCCTACCATTCAGTTAAGGGACACAGCCTTCCAAAGACTGTCCATGGGAGACCAACATCAGGTGCCAGTCTGGCTCCTGATTATACATAGGGCATGTTCCATTTCCCTTTGTCCTTCTTGGATTTGCCATTGTTCTCTGTTTTATTTTTGTTTTTGTTCCTATAGATTTTCCTGGCCTACACTGTTGCGGGTTCCAGTTTTGTCTTTGGGGATGCTCTAGTCAATGATGTCTTCGCTTTTCAGGTCTGTTTACTTTATGGACAGCAGTGATGGTCAGTGGAGGGATGTGTGAGTGAAACAGGGATGGAATCTCATGTCCAAGAGATGAGCCAGCATATATGCCAATTCAACACTAGTAAGAGGGCTTCATTCTAACACTAAAGGAAGCAGTATCCATTTTAGTCCTTTAACTGCTATAACATAAAAACTAAGTAAAACACAGGTGAGACAGAAAGGCTCGGAAAACATCTTGTGGATTAATTCCAATGGGTTCATAGATTTGCAATACATTTTAAATTTACTCCTAAACCAGTCTGTGCAGACAATGAATGTGGAAAGCTTAACATAGTCCACTTATGCTATATATAGCACAAACAGTGCAGTGTCTCATCAGCTGCTCACATTTTCGTTACAGTCTTTGCCAATCATCATTTTCTTTGGATGTGTGATGTCCATTCTCTACTACCTGGGCCTCGTGCAGTGGGTAGTTCAGAAGGTGAGTTATTCTCCTGCACCATTCAGGAGATGGGCCCTTATGACTTTCCAATAGGATGAAGATAACCCTTGCCTTGGAAAAATACTTATATGTAGAATGTAGAGGGTTAGACCCAATAGGATATGCAAATTCTTCCATGGTTGCCTGAAATAAAATAATCAGTCGAGGACCCAGAAAGGCTACTCAGTAGAGTGGCCAGAGAAGATGGCTCAGACAATTTTTTTCAGTCTGACTTTTAATTCCCTTAGTCTAGAATTCAAGTCTAGAATTCAAGTTTTGTTCAGGGCTCTGGTCACTTGCTCTCTGGTCATGCCATGTTCTCTAGACCTCTGTTTCTTTTTCTGTAAGCTGGAGGAAGAGGGGTTTTGCTAACATTCTTCAAGATTCCTATAAACATTAACACTATAGGTCTCTGTACCATTTTAGATTGCTTGGTTTTTGCAAGTCACCATGCGCACCACTGCCACAGAAACCCTGGCTGTAGCAGGAAACATCTTTGTGGGTATGGTAAGCACCAAGAGGCCACCTGGTTCCTGTTGTTTTTCCCCTCCCCCTGGGGAACTGAGAATCTGTCAGAAAACTGTTCAGAAAAGTATGTTTTCCTTCTGAAAGTTAAATAAATGAAAGCTGTTGGTCAACCAACACCTGAGGAAGAGCTCAGATTCAATGGGGACTTGGTTCATTGCTTTCATACCTATTCTGTACACACTTAGCTATTGATTCAACTTATATGGAAAGGTCGGTAAATGTCTTGGTCTAAATCTTACAACTTTTCAGGGATTACGAAAGCATGTGCAATCTATATTTTGGTTCCTCACTGTGACTGTAAACCATGATTTCAAGGGCCTCCAAGGAGGCCATACCTTACCTTACTCCGGGCTAACAGGGAGGCTCTTCCCTATAATATTTGCTTGGAACATTTGTTTTTAATGAAGTAGGTGCTCATATATGCTGTTGATGGATTAGTTCAACTTCAAGGACAATGATTTGTCACATTGACAGGCAGTTAGCAGTGAGGCAATTCTCTCCCAAGGCTCTTTGCTGGTTATCTACTTCTAAAATGTTCTCAGAGAACTTCTTGACACTTTTACCATAGCCCACAACATTTTGCTGAAATTGTTCACTATAAGCTTCATTTTCCCTGTTCTACCATAAGCTCTTAAAATAGGAACTTTATGTTGACAGCCCTTATTTCTAGTACAGTTCTAGGCAAATAGCTGCCACTTGCTAAATAATAAATAACAATCTTACAGCAATTCTAGGTATTGTGTACATAGTCAGGCCTTCATAATTTTATAACATTTTTCACAAACACATTGTTGATTCTTTAATAAGCACTTAGTTTAGGTAACATGTTGTAATTCATTTAGTAAGTACTTTTGAAGCATCTAATCTGTACTAAGTGCACTGTTTTCCCTAAGCTAGTTTTAGACATTTCTCTTCTACAACATTTTGAAACATAAAAATGAGACAGAGATATATGAAAGCAAATGAGAGCAATGCCAGCTGGGATTCAATTAGGAGCCAAAGGGAAGGAGACAGGTAGCAATGGAAGAGCCTAAGAGCTGAGCTTAGGGCTCACCATGTGGGGCTTTGTCTCACTGAAAGGCTTACACATTGGAAGGACTCTGTCTTCTGGGTCCTACCCTTGGGGATAGTGGGTGGGGGATGGGCACTCTGGTGTGAGGTGTTGTACTTCTTGGAATCTGATTGTCTTCTTCTTTATAGACAGAAGCACCTCTGCTCATTCGGCCCTACCTTCCAGACATGACCCTCTCCGAAATCCATGCCGTGATGACTTCAGGGTTTGCTACCATTTCAGGAACTGTGTTGGGAGCCTTCATCTCCTTTGGGGTAGGCAGAGCCTGTTTTACCTCTCCTGGGTGAGCCCAAGTTGGGACCCATGAATGCTCATGCCTGAGTCTGGCCTTACAGATTGATGCGTCCTCCTTGATTTCTGCTTCCGTGATGAGTGCCCCTGGTGCACTTGCCTTGTCAAAGCTGGTCTACCCAGAAGTTGAAGAGTCCAAGTTCAAGAGTGAGAAGGGGGTCAAACTGCCACGTGGGTGAGTCTCAGGTAGATGCAGAGTCCAGTGTGGCCCTGTGGTGGCAGATACTTCAGATCTCCCTGAATGGAAAAGTTTGTGATTCTATATTTCCTCTTGCATCTCTCTGTCTCCAGCTGATTATGTTAATTTTGCTTTCTTTCATTTAATCTACCTACTTGCCAATAGCTTCTACTAGTGCCCCCTGTCCATAGTATCAATACAGGTTTATGGAAATTGTGTCTGAAAGTACTTCAAAGTAATTCTATTAACAGGATCACTAAGGGAACCCATCATCTCTCACATTGGCCTAGTATGCTCATACTTCACTTATAGGGACAGTGGGGTTTCTCTTCCAGGGCAAGCAACTCCTCTAGAGCCTATATAATTTGTCTATGCTCAATAACAACAGGAAGGAGAGCAATGTCCTGGAAGCTGCCAGCAATGGAGCCACAGATGCTATAGCCCTTGTTGCTAATGTTGCAGCCAACCTTATTGCCTTTTTGTCTGTATTGGCCTTCATCAATGCTACCCTCTCCTGGCTGGGGGAACTAGTGGATATACAAGGGCTCACTTTCCAGGTAAAAGATTATATTCTTTGAGCTGTCCCTCTGGGATGTAGTTAAACAATCCTTGAACTATTCTTTTCCTTCTCGCTTGTGCTAAGAGAGCACAGCTAAACTAAGAGCATGAATTTGACAAAGAGGGGGAAAGATGGGTCTAGGCCTCCAGAGAAAGTCTTTGAAACCTGATCTTGGTTATTTGTTCTTTTTTTTCCCTGGGATATCTCTCTGTCACTCAGGTCATTTGCTCCTATATTCTAAGGCCCATGGTTTACATGATGGGTGTAGAGTGGAAAGACAGTCCAATAGTGGCTGAGTTGGTGGGAATCAAGTTCTTCACAAATGAGTTTGTGGCCTATCAGCAACTGTCTGAGTACAAGGAAAGACGTCTCTCTGGAGTGGAAGAGTGGATTGATGGCCAGAAACAGTGGATTTCTGTAAGTGACAATCCAGAAAATTATAAACACCATGAGATCTCAGCCACGGCTATTCAAGGTTAGTCAGAAGGTGCTACACAGAAGTTTGTAGTCAGACCCACAGAAGCCTTCCCAGTGTTACAGCCCCAATTGCAAAGCAGCTTCATCTCCAGGATCTCAGCTACTCTGAGGTCTGTGTGGCTTTCTGCCTTACTCTCTGACCCAACTTCTCTCTACAATGTATTTGTGGGTCTTTACAGTTGGGGTAGTCCAGGGAAGATGATAGTTTTTAATGGTTTAAGATCCCCCACTTCATTTAGAAGTTGAAATGGTTAGAAATTGATCTTGTTCTCTCCCTTTTGTCTCTCAAACTCCTCCCTCTTAATCATCTTCATTTTTATGCCTTCTTCTTATTCATAAGTGTCCACAAGAACAGTATTGGATAAAGAAGCCCATGATATTTTCTGTATATTTGCTTCAACAGTAACTTCAGGGAGCAATTATTTTTGAGCATCCTTTGCATAATCTCGGGTTAATGTGGAAAAGATTGGGGGCTCTAAGCACTCAGTAATTTCTGTCATGATTATAAAATTGTGCACATGGATTATGTATGTATGTATGTATGTATTTATTTTTATGTCCCCTAGGTGAGAGCTGAAATCATTACCACATTTTCACTCTGTGGATTTGCCAACCTTAGTTCCATAGGAATTACCCTGGGAGGCTTGAGTAAGTTAATTCATTTTCGCAGGTCCCCAATAAGCTAGTCAGATCCAACTTCCGAATGAGCAGTCCTGGTACTTTAGTACAAGCTGAGACCAAATATAGAAGCTGCTCTGTGCTTGGTGCTCTCAGCCTGCAGTCAACATGGACCCAAGACAATCACACCATCTGGCTATGCTTATAACCTTTACAATCTCAACTTTAGCTGATTTTCCTCCTTTGGATTAGAGATTCCAGAAGGCCAATTTTGTTTTAATTTTCCCTAAGTGGGTGGAAATATTATAATGATATTATTTCTGTTTTGGCATTACAGGCATAGTTTATGTACAAGTAAAAACATCTTGTTTTAAATTCTGTAGAAGGCCCTTTCTGAAATTTCTCACTAGTTGTCTTCACAGAAGCATAATTTTCACAATGAATCAAAAGACAAATAAAATTTACAGATATATACGGCAGATAGATAGCAAGAGCAAGTAGTGTAAAGTGTTGGATTAAAAGCTGAAAGTGACCAAGTGTGGGAGAAGTGAGTCTTTGAAGCAAACACAGGTAATTGAGACCACACCAGTGACTACTGAGTGTGAGCAGTGGTTATAGGACAAATGTGGAGGTGGAACTGTCCTTGAGAATGGGGTCAGCAAATCACTAGCAAATCTCAACAGTTTGGAAGATACGAGTTAGAAATAGATCTTCAGTGAAATGGAGTTTTAAAATAAATACAGATCAGTGTGTCCATCCTGAATGTCAATCACACTGGAGTAGTCGTTAAATTCATCATTGTATTCAGTGTGTTGATTGAACAATTTAAATGAAAAGTGATTTCCTTTCAGTTTAATACATGTCTGTATGGTTTTAATTCTGATGCCTGATTATGACACATTGCATCTAGATTAGCAATGCTAATTAGCAATGCAGTCTGAACTGATGGTCATCAGGTATTTGCACCTTTCTGGAGTAACCTAGAGCCTTGCTTGATCCAGACACATCAAGCAAGTGCTGAAAGAACCACTGAAGTTAGGGTCAGGTGCAAACCCTCGACCTGGGGAAAACCTAACTTAGGAATCCTTCACGACTAATGAATGTATACACAGCCAGGGCAACACCGACCAGCCTTGGTAAGGATGCTGTTCATCTGGTATGTTTTCTTACTCTACACGCTTATAAAAAGAGGGGATCACTGGATACACCTGTTAGTAGATGGGAAAGTGATAAAATTCTTTGGTTTTGTTGTCTGCAGCATCAATAGTGCCCCAACGAAAGAGTGACATGTCTAAGATTGTGATCAGGGCCCTCTTCACAGGGAGCTGTGTATCCTTTATCAATGCCTGTATCGCAGGTAAGTGCCTCAATTTTGTCTCTTGGCAGAAATCACTTGATCCTTCTCGATCATAGGATCTCTCTCAGAACATTGATTTATTCACCTATCTCACAGATACACAGAAATCACCAAATCTGATCTTTTAAATCAACAACAAAGATTACAGAGCTCTGAGGAACATACACATATTCTTTCCCTTGTATCTTTGTCTCTTGTCTCCAGGAATTCTCTATGTACCCCGGGGAGCTGAAAATGACTGTGTCTCCTTCCTAAACACAAGTTTCACCAACAAAACTTATGAGACATACATGTGCTGCAACGAGCTTTTTCAGAAGTGAGTCAGCCCGAGGGCCTCTGCTCCCTGCTCTATCAGTGAAAGATGATATTTAGGGTAATTTTGCAGAGGCTAAAGAGAATATATGAGAAGAGAATTGGGTATCGGTGACAGCCTAGATCTGTGTTCTTTGCTTAGGTGCATCTCAGTATTAGCTCTATTATGCTCAAGTGACAGGTTCTATCTGGGGTACTGAGATGAGAGAAGTAACAGCAGAGAAGTAGACAAAAGTGGCTTCACTGACAAGAAGTTACACTATCATGATTAGAATACAGATACATAATAAGTGAAATCTTAGCAATGACCATATGTGGCTAAAATCATGAGCTCCTCTTCATCCTTAAGACATAAAAATGACTTTGAGCAGATAAGATTGATAGTATATAGTAGAAAAGTATGATGAGTTCATATGTTATGAATATAAACATGGTCATCAATTCTAGACTATGAAAATCAGAAAATATATTACTAAGCTGAAACAACTAGTTTGGAGACACACAAACGAAGGATCTGAAGAACGAATGTTTGGTCCAAGCAACAGGAGTGTGTATATTGGTATTGATACACAGGTGAGCAAGGAGAATTCTGAGAGATCATAAAATACCCTGTATGAAACATTGAGGAATTCAGGTTTGACCTGCAAAATTCTGGCCATCATTTTGCTCAGCTGTAGTTTTTTTCCCAAAGGATCATTCTGGTAGCCAGTTGGATATTAGGGAAACCAATGAACACACTATTATAACAGTTCTAGTGATACAAGATGATAAATGATACTAAGTGGTAGTAAAGACAGACACACACTTTACTAAGTAAAATCAATAACGCTGGTCATTGGATAGAGGAAAGGGAGAGTGAGGAAGAGAAAGGAATTTCAAATGACTGCCTCTTTTCTAGTTCTGGCAAATGAGTCTAAGGAGGGCCATTCATTCACTGAGAGGAAGAGGCATAGTTCCAGGAATGGGAATAAAGGGGAGAGATCATGACTTCCATCAACTTTACAACTGTTAATTTGGAGAAATCTGATATTACCACGTGAAGCTACTCATAAGCCAAATGGGGCTTGGGGTTCAGGAGAGCAATCCGAGATGCAAAAAGCTTTGGAAGTTATCGTTAGGTAAATGATCTATTCAGTACATAGGTTCAGGGTCACGTGTTAACTGCTTAACAGGTTACTAGTCCAAGTAAATGAATGTTACTCTCCCTGTGTTTGTAGGTTATCATAAAGGCAACCAACTCCTCCAAGAAAACAATCCTATTGTTGACTATTGAAGATGAATTATATGCTGGATAGATCATTGAACTTAATCAATCTGAAAGAAATAATGGATGTTGGATAGATCATTTCAATAGGAAAAAATGATTTTGTCCAGTTAATTTATACTAATTTAAGTCTGAAATGTTTTTCTTCCTCAAGATAAAAGTAGTCTTGGGATATAACCCTACATTTTAGAATATAATGAATATTAAATCAATACAGGAGATACATTTTGCCTCAGAGATTTCTGTAAAGAAAATTTCCAAGTGGGCGACAGTTAGGAATTGGGCATAGGCGCAGACACATCACATAGGGTTTCTTCCTAGTATTAACCTGGGTATGAAAGAGAAAATGAATCTAATTGGGTCTAATTTATTTGATCATGACTCATGGATCTATTTATACATTCTTGGTTTTGTTTCTGCTGCTGGATACAATTTATTGACATGTTTTGTTGTGTTGTTTTCATCTGCCCTACTATGTATCTCTCGTTTCAGTACTTATCTGAATGGAACCAATCCACCTTCTTTTTCTGGTTCCTGGGAAGACAAGACATTCAGTGCCATGGCGCTTGCCAACTGCTGTGGACTATACACCAATGCTGTTTGTGTCTAAAGTTGGTTGATCCATTTATACAGCAGCTTTAATCTCAATAACTTTTTGATGTGAAGGTGCTAATTTACTCAGGAGTCCAATCCTACAATCAACTCTCCAAGATTTCTACTACTAAATGTAAACGACAGGATCCCATATGAGCTCCAGTTCTTATCCAGGCTGCTCCACTTGCCACCCAGCTCCCTGCTTGTGGGTTGGGAAATCAGCAGATGATAACTCAAACGCTTGGGCTATGATGGGAGACCCAGAGAAGCTCCTGGCTTCAGACTGGCTGAGGTCCTGCTCTTGCAGCCATTTAGGGGGTGGACCAATGGATGGAAGAGCTTCCCCTCTTTCCTTCTTTGTGTAAGTCTGCCTTTCCAATACAATAAAAATAAAAATCAATAAAAGTGAGTTAAGGCAAAAAAAAAAAAAAACTAAAGGTAAAGGAGTTGTTTGGTTCACTATATTCCATTAATGGATATCAGAATTCATCTTTCATTAATTCATATTCTTCATGGGCATTACTTAAGTATTTACTTTATAAAAATAAATATTTAATACAAGGTAAATCTTGCTCCTAAATGCCTTCTTAAAAATTGTAAGATGCAGTATAGTATAAATGCAACTCCATGGTATATATCTGGCAAATGGCTACATTTCTTGGAATTACGAGGATGAGCTATATACATAATAATAAAGCTACTTTTAAAAGGTACATGAATATTCAGTGATCTGATTGTAACACATTTGTAAACTCCTTAACATCACATATAGTAAAATAAAACATTATTTCTTGTATACAGACGTCTAAGAAATGTTCACTTCTTAATGACTTGGTTTTGCTATAGTATCAATCTTATTTGTTACAAATTTATAGGAATCCATTCAAACAGTGGTATCGGGAAAGAATTGGAGGGCACTTCTGATTCCCAGGGCACATCTGGCGATTTCTCCAGACATGAATAGCTTTGGAACCTCAGAGGATTCTACTGACACCTACTGGGTGGAGGTCATGCTTGCTGCTCAAGTTTCAGAGCCTCACAACAAACTGTGTGGTCCTCCAACGCCATCTGTGCAGGAGGCTGAGAAATTCATCAAAATATTTAACTTGTCAATAATATTTCCTTTAGGCAGGTGTTTCAAAAGGACACAAGAGTTCCTGCAAAAAACTAAACATGGAATTATCTTGTGTTCTCACAATCCACACTTAAGCAGAAGAATTGAAAACAGGCACTCAAATACACATGCCTGCATGTTCACAGCAGCACCATTCAATGGAGTCACAAAGCAGAAATAGTGCACATGTCCATCAAGACATAAATGGACATGCAGATCAGAGGATGTACACGCAGGAGGATGTTCTTCAGCCACAAAGGTGATGAAGCACCTCAAAAACATTATGTGAAGTGAAAGAAGAGACAAAAGGCTTATTATTATATGATCCCAATTATAGAAAACATCCAGCATAGATAAGTCCATAGCAACACAACACAGATTGCTGGTTGCTAGGGAATAGGGAGAGGAACGCTTAGAGTGATTCCTTAGTGAGTAATGGGGCTTTACTTTGGGGTGCTGGAACTACATAAATGTGTTGCTGTGCAGCACAGTGAATGTACTAAATGTGACTGAACTGATCATTTGAAAATAGTTATTTTTCAGTTACTGCAACTTCCATTTAATAGAAAATGTTTTAAAAGATGGAGGTACTTGTAGCTCATCTAACATAGCTACTCTGTCTCCTCCTTCCTCCCAATTTTCTGAGCTCAGAATCTTTTGATCTTTGATCAGCTTCTATTCCTATCCATGTCCTGCATGTTCCAAACTTGATACTAAAAAGAAAAGGATGTCTCAATGAATTTCCTCCTCAGTTGCAGACCAACTGGAACACACTCCCTCCTCTCTGAGAGACAGCACAACATGATGTTGGTGGTGTTGGGCACTAGGCAGGCCTGAGTCTGATTCTGGCTCTGCTGCTTACAGAGGCTGATCATGGGCCAGCTCCTTACCCTTTCTGTGCCTTGGCATCCTCCTGTGTAAAACAGGGCTCTGAGACCTTGTAGACTGTGAGGGGACAAGGTCACTATGGACCTGAACCCAGTGTAAAGTTAGCTAGTGTTAAGAAGGAGCTGAGTGCACAGATACCAATTTGTTGAGCTGTGTGTGAAATTAAATTCACATATGGAAGCATGTGGGAAGGAGGGACCTTTGTATCTCCTCTTATTGATTAGGGATATCTTTCTGATTCAGTTTCTAATTCTGTTTCTTATTTAGAGCCAATCTAGTCAAAACCTTTGCCTTTAGAGTGCTTAACTATAAATTTGGGAAGCATAACAATCTTATTATGGCTTGTAGAACAATATCAGAAATTGTACCACACAAAAGTTTGGCCTGACTATACTATCAACAAATACAATTACTTTTTCTACAGGTAAGAGGTATAGCTAGGTTAGAGAAATGTTTAGTCTCTCAGAGTAAGGAGTCCATTACATTAGTCCAAACCGACTTAAGACAGAACCTTCCTGCAGCACTCTACCATACATTTTTCACATTTCTCTTCAGCAGCACCAGGTCCATCCCTTAGCACCTCCAGCTCCTCTCCTGAGGACCAGAGGTGGGTTTGGCAGGGTGGGGTTAGGGTCTGGGTAGGTCTGACTCGTAGTTGCTGAGGCAGGCCTAGGGGGTTAGACAGGATGGCTTCACGCTACAAGGTCAAAGAACAGATCTGATGCAGGCAAATCTGTTCTCAGCCAAGGACAGTAATGCCCATTCAGAAAAGGGAAACTAGTCATACAGTAGTTTCAACATAAAAGCAGACATGGGAAACATTTGTTATCAATAGGAGAAACCACCCTTGTTATAGTTTATATTTTTCATTAGACAAATAACCCTGAACAATTTCTACTGTTTTTGAAAAAAGATTTATTTGTTTTATTGCAAAGTCAGATATACAGAGAGGAGGAGAGAGAGAGGAAAATCTTCCAGCCAATGATTCACTCCCCAAGTGAGCGCAAACGGCCATTGCTGCACTAATCCAAAACCAGGAGCCAGGAACCTCCTCCAGGTCTCCCACAAGGGTGCAGGGTCCCAAAACTTGGGCCATCCTTGACTGCTTTCCCAGGCCACAGGCAGGGAGTTGGATGGGAAGTGGAGCTGCTGGGATTAGAACTGGCACCCATATGGGATTCTGGCATGTTCAAGGCAAGGACTTTAGCCTCTAGGCCACCGCGCCCAGCCCAATTTCTACTTTTAAAAGCTCAACTCTTGTTTCCAGTAAAGCAAAAATATATTATTTTTTGAAAGCCTAAAATTCACTTTATGACTGTCACAAGGTTCATGTCTGTCATATTCATCAGCAGATCCCCCTTGACTATAAAAATCCTTTTCATGTATTTGAAGCAGAAAGCCTAACACAATTTTGAAGTTGTTTAAACAAATACAGAACAGCAAGTTTTCTGCTGAAAATGTATTTCACATGCCAAGAGCTGCTGTCCCCTTGAGGCAAGTAAACATTATGTCTGTGTCACTGAATGCTTCATAAAGAGAGATCGCAGGAGACAGCCCTCTCTTCCATGGTGACAAGACTCAGATTTGAAATATTCATCAAGTGAAGGATATTTTCTTAGTTAATCAAACTCAGAGGATGATATAGCACATTTCCCAATGACTACTGTTGTTGAGATATTTGATATCTGAGGGCTCTGGTAAGCAACTCTACAACTGAATGTGCAAACTGTCCTTCAGCTACATGACTGTAACTTATAGAACAAGAAACCAGTATCAATCTATTCCCTTAGGGATCCTAGACACAGGTTAAATATTTAAAAGAGCATTTTAAGCTGGCTAGAAGACAGGAGACATTGTCACTCATCATATTTTTCTAAGAAGCATAAACAAACTCTCCTCCATTGTATCACCATATGCTGCTGAGACGCTGTTGCCACTATTGTGGATTCACTGTGATGCCCTTTGGCTGCCTGGCTGCCCCATGCTGTGGTGGAGCACAGCCCTTGGCATTGTCAGACCACTCAGATTGTCTGGCTGTGTATCAGAGTGCTGACTGTGTACGGTGGTGCTTAACAAAGGTAAAGATAGCATGGACATGCTTGTACCAATCATGTGTCACTCACCAAAAGTTTACTTCATCTCTACTCACAGTAACAGACACTGACTGTGCTTAATGAATGCCACACACCACATACGACATGATCAAATCCTCACAAACCCGATGATGTACCTTACAGCCCCTCCTCCAGCTTGTGCCCACAAGCCAAGGAACCTCCATGTGCAGCATGGAGTAGAAGGAAAGACTGAGGAATGACCCTCCTTGCAAAGCTACCTGTGGGACTACACACACAGGAGGGAGAGGGATTTCATGTTTAGGGAGGGGTCAACTAGAGACAGGAGATAGAAACCAGCTTTGCACACTCTGCCTCACTTGTGATGGACAGGTCCCAGAGGCAGTAGCTTCAAGTGCACTCTGGAGATTCCCTGGACATCAAGCAAAACAGCTCTTTGCTGAGAAAACGACGACCACTGCATAGCACATTCCTACCTGTCTGTTTCCACTTCTTTCCTACTTCACTTTCATTTCCCTCTTGCATGTTCTCATCTCAGTCTCACAGGTCTATAAAGCATTCATTGCAAATAAAAAATTAAATAAAATAAGTAAATACTTTTTATTTACCTCAAACTTTCTCAGGAGTCAAACTAAAAAGATTGGTACCACGAGTGGTTTTTAGACTAGACCTTGGAAAATTGGATCTTGCAGTTTAAGAACCCACGTGTCAAAAGGTAATAGGAACAGTTTTCCTGGCAGTGTAAATTGGGTAGTAAAAATCCTAAACATGCAGTGGCATGTATCAGAATTATTCCAGCTTTCACATACAGTTAATAGCTCTGAGGTGCAGGTGGTAGACTAGGCATCAGGGTACAAGTAATTGTCGCATTTAATTGATACAGAAGTGGTGACAGTGATTCACATTATAAAACAGACAGGCTGCTTTGGGAGCATCAGAAAT